TTGTATACTGTGAAAATTTTTAAATGTCATTTGAAAGTTAAAAAATAATTAAATTAATCCTCTTAATCTTGTATGTAAGTTAGTATAGAAGGTTTTTAAAATTGAAGAATGAATTATGTGTTTTCAATGATTTCAATTTAATTTTTTATGAATTTTATGAGTCTTTTATTAGTTCATAAATAATTTATATTTTACTTGTTATCTTCCTTCACCTATTACTTTAATATGTAATTTTTTTTATTTTTTTCCTTTTATTTTTGTGTTTATAGTATCAATTTTTTTTGTTGATTTTCTTTTTAATCTCTATATGGTGGAGTGATAGCACCCAAGTTTATCATATATAAAAATCTTGTTATAAATATATAGTATTATAAAATATATGAACTCTAACTAGTTTTGTCTTCATATAGGTGTTAAGATATTAATTTGATTGTGTTAAAATAATACTTACTAATAGAAGTTATATTTTATGAGTATAGATTAATCATTAATTATAAAATTTAGGATATTATGTGGGCAATACTTATAAACTAATGTTATCTATCAACAAATGAATTTGTTGAGTTATAAGTGAGTTAAGTTACTTAATTCACCTTAAGTGAAAGAATATGTGAATAAAAAAAATAAGAATACATTTATTTATTATACATCCTCTTTTTATTATTATTATTATTATTATTATTATTATAATATATTCTTCCCTTTCATTTTTATACAACTTAACAATATATATATATATATATATATAAATAATAATAAAAAGACTTTCTATTCTTTCTTTTCTTTTACACTTTGCTTGGGAGAGTGAATTTAGAGAATATTTGAGGAGAAATGAATTAGAGGGTATTTAGGAAAAACAATTGTGTTTGGGAGGGTGAATTTGTGGGTATTTATGTGGAAATGAAGGTGGGTCCATGAGTTAAAAATATTATCCTGTAATATGAAGGGATTATCGTAGAATAGGAAAAATAAAAAAGAAAAAAAAAACTTCCAACTCTTTATTTCTTTTGTTTTTTATGCCCTCCAACTCTTTATTTCTTTTGTTTTTTTTTTATGCCTCTGTAACTTATACTAGTATGAATAATGCATTATGATAAAATGAATAATGCATGTTCATACAACATAAAAGATACAAAGAAACAAACCTAAATATAGAGGGAAAAATAAAATATTAATTGTGTACATTATTTATCTTTACATAAAAATTTAATTACATAAAATACAATTTTAAAATATTAACTTTTCATTATTTCTCACTTAATTATACTATTAATAAACTATAAATTTTACTTTATTTTTTCATACTTCTTATCAAATCAATTTCTATTTACCTTTGATTGCTCCCCTCCTAAACCAGACATGAAGCTTCTTCGAACTTTTCACAAGAGTTTGGTTCAGTCACCTATTTTACTTTTTTTAATTAGACATTGTACTTGACCATTTGGTGGTCGATTTTATATTTATATTTATAATAACCCAGTTTCTTTGTTTGGACATATATAATCAATGTATTGCATAGCTACTAAGAAATGTGCAAGTAACTCATTGGGATTCTTTTTTTTTGGGGATTAACTCTTAACTTAATTGGGACTTGGTTTCAAAATTCCAAGTACTTGAATTTTTGGAGTATTATTCTTGGCGACAGGTATTAATTGATATCCTAATTAACCCAGCAAGAATTGAAAATCAAAGGCATATGTGAAGATTTGCTTCTTTTCTATAGACACAATTTATTCTGTGCAGACATGCGTCTATTTTATGACAAACAATCAAGATTATTGTTAAAAAAAATGTTATTTATTAACAAATAAAATATTGTTTAATGGAAATTAATATTTTAATATAAGCAATATACACTAACAGTACAAAGCATTATATTAACATTTGATGTGCTGGTAATATTTAATAAGAAAAATTGAAATTACACTATTAATATAATGTAATCCGAGTTTTATCTTTCATAGAAATAATCTTTAGTTAAATTTTATTTATATTTTTATATTAATTTAAGATGAACCTTAAAACATTATAATATTCATATTAACAATTTAATTTTTATTAAACAAAAACTATAATAACAATATTAAAGTTAATTTAACATTATAAACCGTAAGTATCAAAGACTTTCTTTCTTGTAATGATTTAACGGTATATTATAGTTAATAACAATTTTTTTATCTATTTATAAGAATATTATTGTCATTTTTTTCTATGAATATAATCTACATAATATTTTATGACTCACAATTAATTATTAATTTAGGCTCATATCATATGAACACCAATTCATACTTTTTTGTTAATTTCTTTTTTATTCATAGAAAATATTATAACGACACAAGGAGAATCAAATTTAACTCCTCTCACTTCTACTATTTCAACTTCTTTCTTTGTGATCATTATACTAACTTTAATTTTCTACTATCTTGTCATGTAATTAGGAAAGAGTTCAAATGCAATAAACTTTAAATACATTTACAAATGAAAGAATTAATTTGATCCAACCAACTTGCTTGATCTTTTAGCAACTGCAAATTAATTAGAGTTCAATAAGCTATAGCATCATCGTAAGATGTGGGTCAACCATAAATGAACCAGATAATGGTCAACTTTAGATCTATGTCAGCAAAAAATTTACCTCCTCACCAAATGAAAGATGTTAACTACTAACTAGTAGACCAGTAATAATATCAAAAGTGAAATGGGTCTTCTCAGTCGATGCCACTAGACACCACTAGACAATAGTATTAGAGTCATGGTACATAAACTATTTGATTTATAGTAGATTAATTTTTTTCTCTAACATAGTTCATGGGATATGTATACTAAAATTATAACTAAAAATTAATTTATGTTCATAAAACATAATTTTTATTGATTAAATATTATTTTATCATATTATAATAAATTATAAATATATTAAATACAATGATTCGATGCTTCTAATTGATAATTGAAATTTAATTTTTAATTTGATTAGAAAAGTATGTATGGTCGAAGATATAACTTTATTTTTTTTAAGGAAGTTAATTTAATAAAAAAGAATTATATCACGGTTATAAAAAAATAAATTAATAAACATCTGGAGTGAAACTAAACATCTACCAACTAAGAACATTTTCATTTCACTGTTGTTGCCATTAGTGGTGCATGTTATTCTACTTTTCAATGGTATTACACATTAATATTGGGTAGTATATTGCTCACCAACTAGTGGACCATGCCTTTGTAAAGACGATTAAGTCAATGATTTGAGATCCACTTAATCAGTAACTAACATTTTATTAAACCAATATTGCTGGACCACTCCCTTATAATGAAATACTTCAACCTTTGGCCTTCTTCGAGTCTCTAACCTATACTAATAATATCAAAACTATATATATGCCCAATTGCCCTCTTAACCACTGTTGATTGATTCCAAATGCACATCATTTTTGCTTTTAATTTTCTTTCATGGTCACTTCATACTTCGTCACATTAATATATACATCCAATAATCTATAATTACTGTTTAACTTTCATTAGATACCAGATAGTATCATGTAATATTGTTATATTATTAACATATATTTATATTATCTATATTAATAGTTTGCTTTTTATTAAATAAAATAAAATTACATTTACAGAATAAGTTTAATAACTAGCTTTTTAATCAGCAAGTGATTTTTTTAAATGCATACAAAAAATTCAAACCGGCAGTACAAAATTACAGGGAAAAATAAAAGTGTACATCAGAGGGGAAAAAAATAAAATAAGCTCGTATATATTACACAATGGATACTCAAACCAAATCTTCTTTGCAAATTAACAAAATTAAACCATGATTTGATTAGCTTTCAAAAGTCCCATTCGGCATGAAATCATTATTAACGTTGGTTCTGCAATAAATTATGACAGATTAGCTGCAACCTCAATCCTCGACATGCCTTTAAGCAGAAGATTAAGTTGTTGTTTTTTTTTAATAATATTATTGAGAAATAGAAAAGGCTTGAATATTGAATGACAAGATTATCCTATCCATGTGCCCAATTCAAGATGCAATTACCATTCCTTAATTACATAGAATAGATAAATTAAACCACCCATTTGTCCAAATTAAAAACCAAAAGGCAATAGAATTACACACCTTTAAGCATAATTAAGATGAAGTCTAAGTGAGCAATTTAATCAAAGTAGGAACCGTCCTATAGTGCTTATGTCACATACTTGTATGCTACATATACCCTTCTTACTCCATAGTCCTTAACCGAATCCTATACTTAATCACATGCTACTCATGTCCTTTTCTTTTCTTGTTGGAGTACTGCTTATAAAGGAGATCCAGTGTTGTGTTTGCTTGAAAGCCACCCGGATCTCTAATCACTACTTTTCTTTCTAACTCAACTAAATGACATGCTAGCTAGCTTTTAAGTTTTAACGTGCCACCTTTGCTTTTTCTGTTATCTTACCCCTCCCTTCAATTTAGTTCACCTAAATAACGCTTTTAAAACATTTAAGCACCACCTAAATTAAAACTTCCACCTCTTATCTTTCAATAATTAATTTTGATCACTCCAAAGATATAATAACACACCACACAATTGACATGCTCCTTCTCATTCAACTTGAACATTAATTGCAAAATACAAAGCATGTTTAATCATTGATGAATCATACGCACGCAGTAGTGTTAATGTGTCGATACTCTCTAAACTAGCGGAAAATAAAATATTCTTTCGTAAAAAGTACTCCCACCCTTAAAGAAAAGAAAAAAAGAGCAGTGTAAAACAGAAAGAAAGGGCAAAAAGTGTGGTCATGATTGAAGCGTGTCAGCACGCGCTGTTTTCAGAGCGTGAAGCAAGGGAAACAACTTTTCTTGTTAGCAACACTTCCAAGGTTGGAAAAGCAAGGAAGATTTTGGGTGGCTGACTAATTTGGAGTAGCTACTGTAACATAACAAACCTCTTGTTGTCCATTCACTACCCATATATATATAACCTGTTCATACACTCCTCCTTCATATAAATTATCTTTCTTTCTCTACACCACTACTACTTCATCTCTTCCTCAAAACCAAAACCAAAACCCCTTTGTGGTATTCTTTCATAGACAAAACTGTTTCATTGTCTAAGTTTATAATACCACATATATATCATATCAACACCTAATGCTGTCAGAAATGAACACAGAAGCCATGGAGGAACATGTCTCAAGTAACAACGATTCAGCAAACATAGCCAAAGGGAAGCGCACAAAGCGGCGCTTGAGGCCTTTGTCTCCTTGCCTTGTCGCCACTACGACCACCGTCACCACTACTGCTGTCGCCATGATGTCTAGTTGTTCAAGCGCTTCCGGTGACGGCGGTGCATCGCTTTCATCCACCACCTTCGAGGACGACGAGGAAGACATGGCTAACTGTTTGATTCTCCTAGCGCAGGGAAAAGGAGGGGATTCTCGTGGTAAGACCCTACCAGATGATGTGAAGAAGACAGAGAAGGGTAGCACCAAAAGTATTGATTTTTATGTTTATGAGTGCAAAACATGCAACCGAACATTCCCTTCTTTTCAAGCACTAGGAGGCCACAGGGCGAGTCACAAGAAGCCTAAAATCATAGCTCAAGAAGACAAGAAGTCCTCATCATCATCGTTATCACCACCACCACCACCATCGTCATCGCAAGTTTTTAGCTTTGAAGAAGCAAAACAAGGTCACATGAAGGCTATTAGCCCTCCTTCTGTTTCCCTTCAATTAGGGTGTGGCAACAACAAGGGTGGCTCCAATTTCCATGGAAACAAGTCCAAGATTCATGAGTGTTCCATTTGTGGGGCAGAATTCACATCAGGGCAAGCATTGGGTGGTCACATGAGGAGGCATAGGGCATCTAACAATAATAATACTGTTCACAAAACAACTTCTGATGATGCCGTTCAAGTTAAGCCTCGGAATCTTCTAGAATTGGATCTCAACCTTCCGGCGCCGGAGGAAGATCTCCGGGACTCCAAGTTTCAGTTTCCGGCGAATCAGAATTCTATTATGCTGTCGGCTGCTCCGGCTTTGGTGGGATGCCATTATTAGAAGCCAGGGTGGGAATTGGATGGAGAGGGGGGAAAAAGTTATATTATTTGATCAATGATGATCATTGTGAATTATTAGCTTTATTTTAATTTACAATTATTCTTAATTATCGATTCTTTGGATTATTTTTCAGTTTATTAATAATTTCCCATTTGGATGATCTACTTGTTCAAGCTTTGGAATACTTTGAGTAACTAAGTGGTTAGTGTTCATGGTTGCCTTTCATTCACGAAAAGTGATCCAGTCACACAGCATCTTTATTTCTTTCTCTTTTTTTTTCCCTCTCATTAATTTTAATGTTTTAGGTCTGTATCTTATTCTAGTTTGAATGATCACAGAACCTATGTGATCGATGAAACAGTAGCATGGATGAGCATGGAATAGGCTTCTCTGTGTGTGTGGCTTTTTTTATTATTAATATTATTATTATTAGTGTTATTACTTTAATAAAACATGAAACATCTTCTTTGTCATTCTCTCTTCCTCAGTTCTCACTTCTCACTTACTCTACCTACCACACTCTCACTCTGTTTCATTTACTGCTAAGAATAAAAAGGATTAGCAAATTAAAATAACAAGGTTTAAAAAATGTCTAATAGGACCAGGTGTTGTTACTATGCATGTTTCCTGGTCCACTACCCTCATTCCACCTAATTAACCAACTGCTTTGTTCTTACTTTGCAAGTCACAAAATAAAAATGTTAATTAAATTTGATATAGTGTATTTTGTTAGATAATTATAAAATTGAATAGTTGGGTAGTAGCTTTGTGATTATGTCATGGAAGTTGCAGCCCATACAAAGTTGATGCTCCCAAGAAAGATACTGCTGACTCTCACACCACAAACACTTAATAGCTATACTATGGTCCACTACTTGGACCCATCAACCATACTCTTTATCCATCTTTCTAGTTTCCAGTTACAAGCTTGAGCCTTATTTATGTAGTTCACAGAATGAAGATGAGAAAAGGACCCGACAAGTGACAACATTTTTATTTATTTTTTCTCTTCCATGAAAAATAACAAAATTAGAGTAGAGGTACAAAAATGGCATTAATTTGTCTTTGGGTGACACAAGGGCATAAATGTCGACACGTATTACACGGATGAAAGAGTTTTTAAGTCGCTTACACAAACCACTTATCTAAAGTTAGTTATGTGCACGTTTTGGTGAATGCTGGTAAGCCAAGCATGTGGACACATACGTTGCGTGAGGTGTCCGAATGCATAAGAAATGGGAGAGAAAACATCACTCATTCACATTACCACATGCTTCCATCTTTTGTAATTCAACTCCTATTAATAAATATTTAAAAATTATTTATTCAATATAAAATTTTATATCAATAACAATCATAATATTATGAACGAGATTAGTATTTAATTTGATAAATAAGAAATACTTATAGTAGGATAAAAAAAATAATATTTTGTTTTATATAAATATTCTTATTACACACAAAAAGGAACCTCATTATTCGCTAATACTATAATAATAAATCATTGCTTTGCTTGTTTTGTTAATTAGGCATAGGCTTATCCTAATTTCTGGCCACTCAACATTTCTTCAATTATTTCCACAATACTGGCATGAACTTGGCCATGATATGATGAGGAGGTGCAATTTCAATATTTGTACCCTTCATGCAGATAAAAACAGAACCCAGATTTTTGTGTACTAAGTTTTTTTCACTTTGCTTCTTTGCGTGCTTGTGCTTCTAATGGCTTTGATCTCATCATTCCTCAATTACCAGTAGCGGCGAGACAAGGCTTGGTATGATGAGATGTCAATGTCCTTTTCAGTAAAAAAATGGAATAACGAGTTTTTTTGAGTTGTATTATTTTAATTTAATCAGTAACGATATTCCCACGTTATTTGTATCACATCATTTTCACACAGTTTGCCTTTTTGGATAATAAAACACATACATACATACACGCACAAAAATAAAATGACATGTGTACAACAACACATTGACATTTTCACTCTTCTTGCGTAAAATTAGAATTTAAATTGTACGTTAGAGTTAATATGGTAAGTCACATTTAATTGTTCTACCACATATCACAATCTCATTTTCCAGCCGATTTGAGTGAATAACAATTTCCTATCTTAAAGTGGTTTGTCGTGCCTTCCAATCTTAACACCTCAATTGCTGATTCAATTACTTTAAAATGTATACACATCGTTTGAACAAACTTTTTTAAAAGTATTTATAATAAAAGAAGAAGAAAAAAAATGTAAGTTAAAACTAATTTTTTCATAAGTTTAAAATAATTTTTTTATATAAACTAATATGATAAAACTTTTATAAATTATAATTTTAACTTATAAAAAATTAATTTTCATTTTCATTTTTTTTTCTCTCTTATAAGTGTTTTAAAGAAATTTACTCAAATAGACTCTTTATCATGTTGGGTAAGAAAGTACTCGACCAAACTGAAGCATGGATTTTGTAGTTGTTAATTATCTTCTTTGCTTCTTGATGATGTATTGTAGCAGAATTGGTTCACTCTTTGGAGATAAAGACAAAAGGCTGAAATGCATGAGTCGGTTTACTATGTGGCTTATTGTCCCTACTATGCAAGCTAGCTAGCCATGACCGAAAAATTGGGCATTACCCTCACTTCTATTTTTGTTATTAGTGTTGAACAAATTTCAATTCCACCGAATAATTGTTTCCCTTGCTTAATCATCTATTTAGCATTGATCATCAACATGATTAGGTTCAAGAATATGGAAACTAAACCATGATCACAATTAGTTTAATACTAATTGGGTTTGGTATCCAGCACGGACCAATAAATGTGGATTTAATTTTGCCTCTTTTTCATTATTTGAGTGGTGCTTCTTACTTTGGTGGAGTGTGGCTACCTAAGATCTACCTCACTGGTTTGGGTTTGGTTGGCTTAATTTTTGTGGCTACAAATGGTGCTTAAATGGTGAAAATAAAAATTGAGAGTGTGTTTAGAAACTAGTTAAATTAAACTCAAATCGGGTTGAAAAAAAAATTACACTCAACATTTTGTTTTTTTTTTTAACATAATTTTTAAACTAATATCTAAACATATACAAAATAAATATGAATTTTGCTCACAAAAATTGAGGATATAGAGAAATAAAACATCCAAAGTGTGAACTAATTTGACAAAACCCTTATTAATCGAGATTGGTTTCGAATTTGTTATGAGGATTTATGAAGTGTAGCTGGTAGCTGGAATAATAAGCATTTATAATGGCAACTGTCCAGTGTTTGAGTTAAGCAAGGGATCGGATAACTCATACCTTCAATATGCTTGTTGTAAACACTACTTTGTTCCCTTTTTATTTATTTTATTTCGATTTTTTTCTTTCTTTTTCCCTTATTAGTCTTCCTTAATCTTAAATTTAACTATTTATAAAGTTTAATAAGAAATTGTTTCAAATGAAATTATAATTATATTAAATAAGAGTTTAATACATCATTTAGTCCCTAAACTTTTCTAAAAATTTTAATTAGATTTTCTAATTTTTTTAAAAGATGTAATAGGTCCTTCATCTTTTTTATGTTTTTGTGATTTGGTTCTGTGATTAGAAATTCATTTACTCTTAGTAAAATTTCAAAAAATATTTTTAATATATGCATATCTAATTAATTATATTAGATTATTATTTTATGTTATCATATATTTTGTAAAATTTCATGAATTGTACACTCTAGGGATTAATATATATATATATATAAGAGAAAGAGAGGGGATTTAATTTCTCTAAGAATATGTTTTGATAAACTTACTTTATTCAATAATTAATATTTTTATATTAAATTTTAAGATTCAATTGTTAAATTTAAAATTATTAATATATAGATCAAGTCTATAAATTTTAAAAATTTTAAAAATTATATAACACTTTATTATGCAAATCTAAATTAATATATAAAATAATTTTATAATTATTTGTCAATTTAAATTAATAAAATTAAATATCAAATAGTTTTCAAATTCTATAAAAATTTATAAATTTGATTAATACATTAAAAAAAATTAAATTAAAATTTAAATTGTTAAAATTTGATGTAAAACATTAATTATTAAATAGAGTAATTTTACCAAGACTTTATTTTAATTAAAAAAAATAGTTTAGAGAGCTTATTAAAAATCTTAAAAAGTGTAAGGAAGAAATGATGTATTATACTAAAATAAATTAATAAGGGTGTTATATTCTTTTTACATCATCAAAATTTTTCTCTTAACTATATTGAAAGTTCGATTTTCTCATCCTCGTGAAAACAATGTTGTAGAAAATATAGATAAAAACATTTTTAAGAAATAATGTTTTTATTTTTCTAAATCATATACCAAGACTTGACAAGTAGTGTTAGTGTAAGGCATGAGGCAAATGAAGTTTATGCCTAGGGCTCCTATTATTTTGAACCTCAACTTTTTTTTTTCATTTTCCTTAATATATAAATTGTTTATTAAATTATATATTTTCTTACGATATAATATATTACTTAGTATTATTTGTATTGACAAAACTATATAATCTTAATATATGAAAAATAAGTGTTATTGTAAATAATTTTAAGTGTAATTTTATTGTTTCATTACAAGAAAATTGTCATATAGTGACACACGCCCTATAGTGACACTATACATGTCACTAAAAAAGTAAAAATTATTTTTACTCACACAATAACTATAATATATGTTGGTATATTATTAAAAAGTGCGGGTATAAGCTATATATAGTAACACACAAAATATGTTATTGAATCTCATTCAAAATCAATACTAAAATTATATGTAACTATATGTCAAATATACATATACTTACATATATTGTACCTATAGTGACACTTTTTGTATATCACTATATGTAACATTTCTTGTAGTGTTTATTTTTAAAAGTTAAGAAAATTGTTTTGTATTTATTTTGGACTCTTCCTCTCCTTACCCTAAAAAATATTATTGACTATAATATAGAGTATATATATTTAATGAATGAATATATTAGTGATATATAAAAAATCATATTTTGGTTAAAAATGCTGATAATCAAATGACACGTACGCTTGACTAAAGATTATTTTTATAGTGATCATTTTTTTAACAAATTTTTATATTATACACATTACGCGTTAAATTAATTTACAACTATAGGTGAAAGTCTAATCGAATAATTTTTAAAATATCATATTATTTTTAATTTTTATTTGAATTCTTAGAATTGAAAAGCTTTGATGAGGATGCACTGAAAAATATTGTACTAATTGTATTTTTTAAAAATAAAGATATCGTAAGAAGTACATACAAAGAAATTTATTTTCCACTGCAAGCATTAGATTATATCAAAATATTTTTTAAAATATTTATAACTAGTTACTGTTGAAAAATGTTTTTTTAATTAAATTTTTTTAGATCTTATCGATCTAAGATTACCTATGTCAAATAATATACAGACCACAATTTGCATATACATGTAGCGTCAGTCAAATAATATATATATATATATATATATATATATATATATAAATTATTATTTTTTATATATATAAGAGTTAAATGTTAGAAATGATTTATTATAAAATTTTGATAAAAGACGATTATAATATGAACAAAGAGAAACTAAGATTTGAACTGAATTATTTAAGATAAATAAAATTAAAAGCAAACAATTAAAGTTAACTTTTTATTTTTCATTTAAGAGATAAGAATAAGAATACAAAAATATAAAGAAAATGAGTTGATTCAAACGATAAAAGTGTTTGTGGTCATGAATCATTTGTGAAAAATTATAACTAACTCAAATCAATAAATATTAGTTGGTTTAAATTTAAATATCATACAAACCTAATCCAGCTCATATCTCGAATCTTAATTTTTTTTATCAAAATATATCATTATGTTTAATTATCACGTAAATTATATGTACCAAATATATATTAATATAAACATAAAATGACATAAAAGGAATATCCCAAATCTTAAATTATATTTTATCAAAATATATCATTATGTTTATCACGTTAATTATATGTGCCAAAAATATATTAATATAAACAAAAAATGACATAAAAGGAATAAAATGTTGCTGCCCAGGATCGAACTGGGGACCTTCAGTGTGTAAGACTGACGTGATAACCACTACACCACAGCAACTTTGTTGTTGTGTTTATACACAAAGTATCTAAAACTAATCTCAATTTTTGTGAAAAGTATTTCTTTAAACAAATTTAAATTTATAAAAATGCTTTAAACTAGTGACAAATAAATTCATTTTCAATAAATTTTTAATACAAGGAAAATAAAAATAATAAAAAAAAGGAAGGTGCGTCATTTTCTTAAAGAAATATCCTTATCCTGATATATGTATTTTTCGGTGAAATAATTTCATAAAAAAAAAAAAAAAAAACCACTCGTATTTGAATGGGAGGTGTATCTAATAGATGGGGGTACAAATAACAAAAAGCCTTTTTTATTTGCAGTAGCAAAGTCTGGGCTTTTAGCCTCTCCATTATATATATATAAAAAAAGGTCATTATATATACACTTCCCTTCTTTTCCTTTTTTTTTTTTTTAAAGTACACCTCTTTTTAAAGAAAATTAACTAAATATTTTAAATATCCTTAATTTTTATAATTTTAATTTTTTAATTTTACATATTCAATATTTAATTTAGCACTTTTTTCTTTTTTTTTTACACATTTTTTTCCTTTTTTCAATTTTCATATGTACCCTCAGTCCCCCCTTACCTTTCATTCATCTCACTTATTTTAATAAGTAGTTTTAATTTTTTCAGTATTACATTACTCTCTTTTCCCCTCTTCTTCTAATTTTCTCACTATTATCTTCTTCCTCCCCGTTTTTAGTTTTCACACACACCCAAAATGTAGAACTAATTTTCAACAACATTATAAGCACGCGTGACTTTCTTGACAGTGTCGAAAGTGTCGAGTCAAATATATATTTTTTCTTCGAGCACTTCTCTCATTTAAACATAACATCAAATAATTTTAGTGTTTCAGAAAGTACTTTTCAAAATAGTAAAATTAATGTTACCGAAGTCATGTTTTGAAATTGAGTTTTTAACATACTTGTAGAAAGTACTTTCCGAAATACTAAATTTACTGTTATGAAAAGTACTTTCCAGAAATATGTCATTTTACATGATTCTAAAAAATTATTTCCGAAACAATAAATTTAGTATTTCAGAAAGTATTTTCCATAATTATGTAAAATAACATACTTTTGAAAAGTACTTTCTGAAACATTAACTTTATTATTTCGGAAAGTACTTTTTGGAAGCTTCTTATTTTACATACTTTTAAAAAGTATTTTTTGGAACACTAAATTCGCTCCGAAAAGTACTTTTCTAAAAATATGTATAAAAAAAACAAATTTGTAAAGTTTTATCTGGAACACTAATTTCATTATCCAGCACAGTATTATAAAATAGTAAAAATATTTTTTTTCATATCACTAAACTTAATGTTAAGGTTTTTGGAGGGGTGAAAAGAGAGGAAGTATTGAAAAACATGTGTGTCTAATATTAAAAAGTTGTTGAGGAAGTCACACATACCTACAATATTTTCGCATATCAATTCTACGATTTGGGTGCATGTGAAAAAGTGAAAGAGGTAAGAGAATAAGAGAATAATGTAAAATCCGAGATAACTAAAACAACTTACTAAAAATAGGTGGGAAATTAGAAGAAGACAAGAGGGTACATATATAAAAAGTGAAGGAAAGAAGGAAGGAGATGTGTAAAAAAGAAGAAAAAAGTAATAAATTGAAAATTAAAAGTGTAAAATTAAAAAAAAAATTATAAATATTTATAAAAAAAAAATAAAGGAAGTGCACTTATAATATATATATATATATACATCATGAGATAAAAAAAAAATGTTTAGAGGCAAAAGCAGCATATCTGGCTTATAGCATAGGCCATGGCTGAGACTGAGAAGAGCGAAAATGGATCTACTGGTGGCCCAAGTAGATATAATAACCAGTTGAAGTAAAAGTCATACTTTTAGGATGAATTATATACTTATTTAAGGCTAAAAAATTGTTATATACTAGGTTAATTTTTTATTAATTTAAATTATTATTAAGGAGATTAATATTTGGTTAAAACTATATATATATATATATATATATATATATATAT